GAAAGGCTCCTCAAGAGGGTCCTTCTTCATGGTTTGAGTGATAGCTTTGCGGATTGTATAGTCGGAGTAACCATTAGCCTTAAGAGCGTGGTGTACGTGCTTGAGTTCACTGCCTATGTGTTCCTGGTCGGATATGCATTGGGCTCTATGGTACAGAGTCTTGATGAGAGAATTCTTCTGTGATGGATGGTGGTGGGAATCCGGTTTCAGATAAGCATCCGTATGGGTAGCTTTCCTATAGACAGAGTGGCTCATTGAACCATCAGGTCTCTTTTTTATTAGGACATCCAAAAAAGGTAGCTTGCCATCTTTTTCGACTTCCATGGTGAATCTGATGGCTGGGTGTATGGAATTGATGTGGTCGAAGAATTGGTCTAGAGCAGGCCGGCCATGTGGCCAGATGACAAAAGTTTCATCCATGTACCTCTTCCATAAGGTTGGGCGCAGAGTGGCAGTCTGGATGGCGTCAGTCTCAAATTTCTCCATGAAAATGTTAGCTATATCCGGAGATAGGGGGGAGCCCATTGGGGTGCCCTCAGTTTGTTTGTAGAAAATTCCATTCCAAGTGAAGTATGTATTGGTTAAACAGTGTCTCACCAGGGGGGGGTACCTCAGTGTTTAGTCCTTGATGAACCAAGTCTTCAATGATTGCGATGGTGTCAGGTACAGGAACCTTGGTGAATAAGGAAACTACATCAAAATTGACAAGCAGGTCGTCTATACAATCCGCAAAGCTATCACTCAAACCATGAAGAAGGACCCTCTTGAGGAGCCTTTCAAAACCATCACTTTACCCTACATTACGGGGATCACAAAAAAGATCTCCAAAGTCTTGAATAAACACAAGATCCAGGTCCGTTTCAACACATTACATAAAATCCGTGATCTGGTTCCATCTGTAAAAGATGTGATTCCAGATATATAGTACCCTGGTGTCTACAAACTAAGTTGCCTCTGTGGTAGTAGTTACATTGGAGAAACCAAACGCCATGTCTCGGACCGCATTCGTGAACACAAAGCAGACCTTAAACACGGTAGGACCAACACCTCGGCCGTGGCAGATCATTGTTATAATTCAGTAGACTCACATGACATTGACTTTTCCAAGACAGAAGTTCTTTGTAAGCCATCTGGCTACCATGAGAGATTCGTTCATGAGGCTATCCACATATACAAGCACAGAGACAATTTCAACCGAGAAGATGGATTCTGGCTTAGCAATCATTGGAAAGATTTGATTAACCATTTCAGGTCTTAATTGATTGTTCACGCTTACAGTGGCTTTCAGACAGCATACATTAATTTTTCGTCTCCCCCCTCCTCTTTTCAGAACATAGATGGACTAGTCCTTCTAAATAAACTGCCAAATCGCTGCACGTGGCGCTGAGGTTTTTTTTTAAATAAATAAATACACCGTTTTAAAATAAATAAATTAATGCAAACCGACACACCTGATGACGACCGTTTGTGTTATGGTCGAAACGTCGTGAGAATTTTTATTGTTTTATATATTTTTTATTATTTTAATGTTTCCCTTCAACGTGACTTTACCGAAAGAGCTAAGAATATGAATTACTGCAGTCACGAAAGCTTTAAATCAAAATTCAGTTAGTCGTTGTTATTCTTTGAAATGATTATTGTAAGTCACGTGTTTAAACCGAATAAATATGTTGTCCCGCTTAATCCGAAATCCACGTGATCGCCTCTACAGTACAGTAGTTGCAATATATTTACAACAGTGGGCGGAGCTGATTGATTTTGATTAGCGTGTTTCTGCTGCTGTCCACTGTGAGCCGAGGCTTCTGCGTGGGAGCAGGAAAGTGTCATCATCACTGAGCACACGCATCGATCGGTCGATCATTAGTGTTCGTTCTAAATCGAAAGAGTAACAATCGAAATCCTCAGTTGTTCATTAACAAACTCAATGTTTATAATGTAAGCATGATTTAAACCTACATTAGTGGTTTTGGCATAGAGATCCGCGGAAAATTTACATTTTCGGATTATCCGCGATTTTGAATTATCCACCGCTATCCTCCCCGTGTTTAGCGCGGATAATCGAGATTCAACTGTGTTTATGTTTTTTTGTCTTTGTGTTGCTGTGCTCACAACACCACGGATCTCCTTATTCAAAAGAGACATGCAAACTGGCAAAATTGGGTTATCTGCGTAACAAATAAAATAAGTGTAAACTCATTCACAGTGTTACAACTATGAACTATGTTCAACATTCAGTCCGAGCACGTGGGCGGTGGTCATCTCCCGAGCTAATTATCTACTATGCCTTGGGGACAGAAGTTAGAAGTATGAGTAGAGGAAACATAATTCAAATCGGATTTGCTCACGAAAACGTCATTATAACAACCGCTGGGAATAAACTGCGGGGAAATGACAGAAAAACTCAATGAAGAAGACTGAAAAGTTGTGCTCAAGGTAATTAGGAGCAACGTACGACAAGGTCGCTAAACAAACGTAGATATGGACAAAAGCAGGATGTTTATACCAAGGGGCAAGTTGGCGAAGGTGGGATACGATCAGTAATTTCATAAAGAGGTGGCAGAGAGTAGGATGGGGAGCTTTAGAGAGGTGAACCCAATCACGAATAGCAATATACCCCCGTGTCTAAACATTGACGTGCTTTTATGTATATATATACCCATTACCTGCTGTGACGTGGGCCGGGAACGTGGACATTTAAAAATAACACGGAACAAAGGTTGAAAAAAGTGGCCCAAAGAAGTGTGGAGAATTGCATGGCTGGAATTAACACTGACGGGGGGCGGGGGGGGGGGGCTATGCGTGAATTTGAGAACCGACAAAAGTGTCGGAGGCGTTCATCAAATGTACGACTCGGAAAATAAAGCGACACGTGTCCATTCGTGGAGGTTGATGGTGGCCAGTGGTGGAGAGTAACAATGCAATAGCAGCCAAATGAGGAACCCCCAAATCCCCCCCCCCCCCGCCTCCTCATCGGCGCAAGAGTATCCTGCGCCTACCGCGGAGATGGAGAGAGATGGTGAGATGGAGAGAGCTGGTGAGATGGAGAGAGATGGTGAGATGGAGAGAGATGATGAGATGGAGAGAGATGGTGAGATGAAGAGAGATGGTGAGATGGAGAGAGATGGTGAGATGGAGAGAGATGGTGAGATGGAGAGAGATGGTGAGATGGAGAGAGATGGTGAGAGATGGAGAGAGATGGTGAGATGGAGAGAGATGATGAGATGGAGAGAGATGGTGAGATGGAGAGAGATGGTGACAGATGGAGAGGGATGGTGAGATGGAGAGAGATGGTGAGATGGAGAGAGATGGTGAGATGGAGAGAGATGGTGAGATGGAGAGAGATGGTGAGATGGAGCGAGATGGTGAAATGGAGAGAGATGGTGAGAGATGGTGAGATGGAGAGAGATGGTGAGAGATGGAGAGAGATGGTGAGATGGAGAGAGATGGTGAGATGGAGAGAGATGGTGAGATGGGGAGAGATAGTGAGATGGAGAGGGGTGGTGAGATGGAGAAAGATGGTGAAAGATGGTGAGATGGAGAGAGATGGTGAGATGGAGAGAGATGGAGAGAGATGGTGAGAGATGGTGAGATGGAGAGAGATGGTAAGATAGAGAGAGATGGTGAGATGGTGAGAGATGGTGAGATGGAGAGAGATGGTGGATGTGATGAGCGATGGATTCAGTTCACGTGCAGGTGCTAGATGCATTGTTATTATCACTTCACCGTCACACATGCCAAATCCTTGGGGGTGGGGGGCCTTCATCCAGCAGTGGATTGATCCCGACTGATGACGATCATTACAGGGCGTAAGTCGATCTATAGGACAATCGCAGCGCCGCTTCTTGCACTGACACCCCGGATGTGTGGATGCGCTGCGTCCACACCCGACCACGACTTGAACTCGCAAGCCCTCCGATCGCGAGGCGAGCGAACTCGCCACGGTATAGCCACGGTTGCCAAATCACAACCACGAACATTGGCAGTGGCCACAATTCCGTACGGATTTGTTGTTGTTGCAGCAACTAGGATGAAATTGACATTTGTATAAATATTGTTATTAAGAGCCGGCGTCAAATGCAAAACGCTGCATTATCGACATCAGATCAACCGCATGTGCATGCACATGTCACGCGCGAGATGCAATATGTAAATAGTATAATCCCGGTACGTACGTATAGAATGTGCATCATCAGCATCATCACCGTCGTTAGTAATTGGGATTTGTAGGCGGAGGGGTTAATTTTTCCTAACCCTACAAATGAAAGTGGCGCTTTGTTGTTCGTGTAGAACCAGTCGACGCTGTTATATAAAAGACAGGGCAAAGCGACTTACAAACGGGAGTCTTGGATTTAACACAAGCCTTACATGGTGGGGTTTTTATCCTTAATGCGATTACAGCTGTAATCACATCATTGCCTGGCTAATAACAGGTTCATAAAGACGGCGGTGCTTCAGAAGTGAATGTAATGTGGGGATATTTTAGCATCCCCCCCCCGCCCAAATCTGTTCACAAACCGATAAAATATTAATTATACAGTAGGCCGAGAGGTGCACATAGTACACACATGCGCATAGTTCAATGTACATATAAACACACAAGTTGAACCTCCGCTAATAAAGATTATAATACACATCATATCAAGCTCACACACACACATGTATAAATACTGTGTAATGTGTATGTCTAATATACCCTTTGTATATACATTCATTGTATGTTTAATGTACGCACGTAATACATTCACACGAATGTGCAAATGCATGCGTGCGTGCGGTGTTGTGTAACGATGCAATTAACAATCATAATTCGGTGCGGAGGTCTGGCTTTTCCTATCAACCACACGGAAGCCAAATCCGACGGATGACAACCCAGGGCACCGCACTGGGGGGGGGAGGGGTGACCACACCAACGCATGCGGCACAACAGAACCCCCACGAGACAACCACGAGGCAGCCACAAACGCCCTCGCGATCCACCACCACTCCACGTCGCCACCCACCTTCTCGGCTCGCGCACCTCCACGGACACCCACCGGAGCAGCACCATGGACAGCGCTCCAGCCGCCCACAGTGCCTCCAATGCCTCTCTCGGTCGTCTCGGCCTCGGTGTCTCTCTCGCTCTCTTTTGCCCTTTAAATGCTATCGCCTAAGCCACATCACCTCCGTCTGACACCCATCACCATCAGCTCGTCCCTACGCCGCCCCAGACCCCTCCTCCTCTCCCCGTCTCCTCACGCCTTGCCGACCTCAACGCCAGCTCGCAATGGCCGCAGCTCGCTCGGCTGCGCACCATCCATCAAACATGCAGCAGCAGCAGTAGCAGCAAGCAGCAGCAAGCATCAGCAGCAAGCATCAGCAAGCAGCAGCAGCAGCCCCGCCTCGTCCTCACGGACCCAGCAATCCAACCGCCCTCTTGCCTCGACCGCCAACACTGGGCCAATCCGCCTTTTGTCTTAGAATGTCTGGCGCTCCTCCTCGACTGCGGTCACAGACCCCCCCCCCCCCTCCAAACCTTCCCCCGTCTCGCCGCTAATCCGAGGGATCTTTAACTTAACGGGTTACGCTGATGGTGACGACGATCATCATCCTGCTGCTGATGCTAATGATGCTGATTCTGACACTGATCCCTCAACGCGCCTGCTTTCCACCTCACCCCTCTCCTACCGCTGCATCTCCTCGAATCATCATAGCTCCTCAATCCATTACTGTCCTCGGCTCTCTATTCTACGGCTCTCTTTCGTAAGCTCCCCCCCCCCCCCAGCTTGTCCCGTGCCTATCCCTGTCGCTGGTGCTTCACCACTCCGGCTTCCCAGAGGCAGAGCGAATGAACTATTGTCGTCTATTGTCGGCTGTAAGCCCCCACCCTCTTCCCCTCCCTATCCTTGCCGTTTTAAAGGAGCATCCTTTTTTTTTCGCCCCTTAACGTGTCTGCTCATTGGCTGGCTCCGAGGTAACCATGGAAATACTATCCCCATCTCCCCCTCCCCCCTACACCAACCAGTCAGTTCTCCGCAGGTTTTCAGGAATCACTTTGCCTTCCCCTGCCGGACGTCTGCCACGCTCATCAACATTCACGTGGGATTTCCTCGGCAAATCGCTCTTCGCAAGTACGCTCCCTCATCCCTTTTCATTGCGCGCGTCGCTCCAGGCCCGCACGCGCGAATATTCACCATCGCCAGGAATTGTCCACGTGTCTTTGAATCGTCTGTGAAATTAGCGCGCTAACCTATGGGCCGTTTGTTGTCCAAAATCAATAAGGCACCGTGTTGTGTCTCCAGTTATGTTTTCCATTAAACGTGAGAGAGAGAGAAATCCATTGAATTAAAAGCCGCGATGCGCCATGTCTTTCTTTTTTTAGAGTGCACAGTGACGTCGCCTGCAGGTGGCGCGACCTTGACTGGGTCATTACTTTATTGTTTTTCAATTCCTCAATCGCAGCCCTGGAAACTGACCTCCGGAAGAATTGCACTCACCCACCCAAGCCGGCATGCTGTGCGTAACAACCTTCATGGCTCAATGCAGAACATTAATTGCCGTGCCTACGGCAATGCATTGCCCCAACTCGCTACGACGCCACTTCTGGCTTCCGCGGCACAATTGCCAAATGTATTGTTTGACGCTGCAGTCTTTTCCGAGCGTGGGAATTAAGCCAAAGTATCGCCGAACTGGACTTACCTGCGTAAACCCCGCGCTGCACCGTTATATAATCCAGCGGCACACCTGACGCTCGACCGGTCACGCGCAACTAAGCCCGCACACAAAGTGTCGACAGACCGTCAGGGCGAGTGCTGTGACCGAGGAGCCCCTACGAAGGTCGTCACGGCACGCGAGGGGGGGGGGTGGTAGCCAGCGCCACGCCCGGTCGCCTTTGTCTCACGCGCGCGGGGGGCCCCCACGCGCCAGCGAACCGTTTCTCAGTGAGGCCAACATTTGGAGAGGTGGCAATCTCTTTTCAGGAGACAAATCGATTGCACGCGAATCAAGTCGTCGTTATATAATATAACATTGATCTCAAATAAAATAAATGTCAATAATTATGAATTAATCACCTACAATGTTTTACATTAATGAAAGCAATCAAATATGGTCTCCGACACACAATCTCATTGTGTGTGTCTGTGTGTAGTGCAGTGGTTAGTGGTAATGGGGAGCGGTAGTGTAGCGGTTAGCGCGCTGCGCTATGAACCTGGCGACCCGGGTTCGATTCCCGCTCACGGCCAACACCAGTGACGATTATCTCAACCGGTCCTGGGCCTCCCCTAGGTCGACTCAGCCTCAAATGAGTACCTGGTGCGGTGGATAAAAACATTGCCACTGGGGAGACTAAGGCGGTCGGGCGTGGTGCTGGTCACCCACCCCCTCGTGTACCGTTCCGGCCTTCATAGGTGCTCGCTAACAGCACCTGCCCCTACAGTCTGTTAAGGCTATACGGGGGATCTTTGTGTGTAGTGCAGTGGTTAGTGCGCCATGCTATGAACCCGGCCACCTACTGTAAGTTCGATTCCACAGCCAACGTCGGTGGCGAGCGAGATGTGAACCATCCTGATCACCCTTAGACCTCCCCACACCGACGAATCTCAAGTCTGGTCAAACGATATCCATGGCCAATATGCCAATGAGGCAGAATTAATTTCCATCCCATTGATTAAGGCCGCTAATTCAATTGCAGAATCACATCTCATTCCCGATCGTCGTAAACGAATTCTTCTCGAAGAACATTGTACTGACTGATAAACACTCTCACTGCAATTAAACCTGCACCATTCCCTACCGTTACCTTTCCACCCCACCTCATCTGAAATGAGGTGAGTACAGCCTCAGTGTGTGCCCACTGTTTCTATGTCTCGTTTGTGCCTCACTGTACTGTATATCCTGTCTTGCCCAGAGTAAATTTGTTGTGCAGTCGCTTGTTTTGCATTGCATTTGCCCACTCTTTTTGCTGTCTTATCTTTCATACATGCACAATGTATATACTTTTCGTGGCCTTGACATTCCTCGAAGACACCGGTGGAACCATCAACCGAACCAAAACATCACCAGACCGATGCTGTACCACATCCCCTTCAATAATGGAAAATCTCAAACACAAACCACAGCCGTGCGATTGTGGCCATGCAAACCAAACGTGTGGACCTTATAGTAAACCCATAGAAATACGTCGACATTCACAGAGATATAAACGCATAGAGATACGTAGAGGTACATGAAAGACAGGTCACATTGCGATAGTGGCCATGCAACTCAAACTATACACCACAGAGCAATCCCACTGTCGCCTGCTCTTCTTCAACAGCAGGAACAGCAACACGACACGAACTCTCTCTCTCTCTACTCTGGCTCTTTCGGTAAAGTCACGTAGTAGATATAAAATAAAACAAAATAAATTAAATCACGACGTTTCGGGCGCAACACAAGCGTCCGTCATCAGGTGGGACAACCACAGCAAGAAACAATTGCTGAAGTGGGCAAAAGGGCTGCTGTGACAAGAGGCTCTGTAGGTAAGAGAGAGGGAGGAGAGACAGAGAGGGGGAGTGGAGCGCTGCCGAGTGAAGAGCTGCCCTCTCGTCGTGGCCAGCAGCAGACCTCAGACATGGGCATCTCGCTCCTGAACATATCGCCATTCTCAATTGAACAGAATACATCGCTGGGATAAGCAGCTCAACGCATTTATCGTTTGGGTTAAGAGTATAATGATTATTCTTGGTTCTTTCGGTGAAGTCACGTAGAAGGGAAACAATAAAATAATAAAAAATACAATATTGTTCTATATATTATTTTATTGTTTCCCTTCTACGTGACTTTACCGAAAGAACCAAGAATATGAATCCCTGCAGTCACGAAAGCTTTAAATCAGTATAATGATTATTACGAGACGTGTTGTGGCTTGGTCTATAAATGAAATGAAGGTGGCTGTCCCCCACAATTGCTCTCATATGGGGGCGTCACGGTGGAGAGATGTGGACGACCTCACCTGGTATACAGGAGGTCGTGGGTTCGATCCAGAACCTAACGCCTGTAGTATATTTGGAGTTTCCGTGTCTCTGTCTCGTGGTCGTGTGGATTTTCCTCCGAGTCCTCCGGTTATTTCCCTCCACATTTAGAATCAACATCACGCGTTTACAGTATTTGGCTGCTTGACATTTCCACGTGACGATGAGCCACTTCGTTGAGCTATCATTTGTAATTGCCAGCTCGCTTCTGAAAAAAGAGCTATATAGCTCAGTGGGACCTTACCTGGTAAAATAAAGAAAAATTGTTTCGTAATATTTCATATATACTGCACTCTCAGACCCAAGCAAACCCAGCTGTGAATCGGCAGCACGACCACAAAGACATGTTGAGACACAACCGCAAATGTGGGTCGTACCCAGCCACCCTGAGTGTAATTTGTTTGACTCGCCTTAACCCTGCGATTCCTTCCTTTGGAATCCTTCACTGATGGACACGAGGCCCTGGGAGTTGTGAAATCCCACCTGCCATTTTATGCGGCGTGAAAATGTGGGATTATATATATATTTTTTTAAGACGTCTTTAAAAATAAAAATCCCGCGGACAAAATTCTTCGGGGAACAAAACGCTAGACGCCAGATGTCCTTGGCTTATCAGCAGGAGGGTGAAACACAAATGCTAAGCGAGTGTTCTAATCAGGAGAATTTAAAAAACGGGGGGTAGAGGGAGAAACAATACACATCATATAACTGTTGGTTTGCTAACCCAGCGGTGGGGGGGGGGGTCCTGCAATGTGTGAAACAAGTGTTACGTGCTGATTTGTGAGTGTGCGCCCGTGCAATTGTAATTGGACTCGAAGGCGTGGATTTTAAAACAAAAAGTGCTGGACGGGTTTTTTTTCTCAATTCAGCAAGGAGATGGGTGCTTTAGTTCGTGCAGATGGCACGCCACGGGCACACGATGGTGAGCATCATTGGATGCCGTGGTGACGAGATATTAACTGCCTCGCCTGGTATGCAGGAGGTCGTGGGTTCGATCCCGACCCTGACGCCTGCTGCTGCTGTATATTTGGAGTTTACGTGTCTCCCCGTGGTCGAAAGGCTTTTTCTCCGGGTCCTCCGGTTTTTCCCTCCACATTTATAATCAACATGCGTTTAGAGTTTTTGGCTACTATAAATGTCTATATTGATAAGCCACTTTGTTGAGCTGTCATTTGTGGACAGGTCGTTTTTGAAAAGAGTCCGATTAGAAAGAGGTTTCCGCGTCACACTGTGATGATGGGTGAAACGTCTGCGCCTGATCAACATGTGACGAAAGAGGCAAACACAAGTTTATTATACGTTTTATTACGAACGATAACAAATTCATTTCAACACATGTGATACCTACCGCAATCAATATTATGTTGTAAAAAAAATTAAAGTTAAATGATTGTACTGTAATGGAAAATTTAATACAATTTTGACATTAACGTGAAGCGAGTGGGAATGCGCGGGACGAGTCATGTTGTGCGGATGATCTTGTGTATCCAGTGCAGGTAGTGGGAGACACGGATGTGTACGCCAGGCAGGTTGGTCAAACCACAGCCAGGAGCCGGAGGCATCACCCCTTGCAGGACAAAGCGCCCGTTGTTGTCTACGCAGGCCAGCGGGCCTCCGTAGTCCTTCTGTTTAGCAAGGCAAACAAGAGAAAGACGAAGATTTACCCCCGTACAAACTTAACAGAATGTTGGGGGCAAGTGCTGTTAACGCGTAGCACACCTCTGAAGGCGGGCACAGCACACGAGGGCCTGGGCTGGCCAGCGCCACGCCTGGCCGCCTGTCTCCCAAGCGGCGATGTTTACACGCCTGGTCCCGGGGTACTCATTTGAGGGCCGAGTCGACCTGGGGGAGGCCCAGGACCGC